CGTGTGCGTCCCAGGGCACGCCCTGGAGATTGACGCCATTATGCAGCGTGAAGTCTTCCTGTGCCTGCGGCGACAGGTCAACCGCGACGCCACTCTCTGCGGCCTCGTCAGGGATCTCCAACACCATGTCCAGACCCTTTTTGGCGGAGGACCTGTTGGACGACTTGTTCAGACGCTTCAGCAGCTCCGTTGGACTTGGCCCACATTTGGCACCATGTACGACGACTGGGGCTGTCAGATCAGTTGGCTGAACCTTCCCCAAAACGCCTTCCTTCACATGCTGCGCGCCTCGCAACGCAGAGCCTTTCTGAGAAAAATCAAGCCACGGCGTCATGACCTTGGTCACCTTGCTTCGGTCAGACAGGGCCTCGACCTTTTCGCCAGCACGTGGCTCGCCCGCACCAAAGGAGCTGCCAAATGCAACGCATGGCAGCTGGCGCTCCTCTTAAACTACCTGTCGGGCGGGGACCACACCCAACAGCGACGTTCTCGATCAAATACGTCCGCTGATCCCAGCCCTATTTGCCGTTACTGTGATGAGGAAGAGGAAACTCAGGAGCACACTGTGCGTGACTGCAAGTGCTGGGCCCGTGAAAGAGTCCCTCTCACCACCCTCATCAGTGACGAGCAGTGGGCCCGTCTTCCTCCGCACACAAGACATTGCGGGCTCTTCGATGAGGACCCAGCCCTCCTCGATCTGCAAGCCGACCTCGCGAGGGACCCGCTACCTCAACCCATACCGCGGCCCCCGCCTGAGGGAGATCCTGCGGCTTCAGCCCAGGACTCCTACACCACTTACCTTGACCACGACACTGGTTGGACATGGGTCTACGCTGCCACGGACGGTGCATGCACCAACCAAGCCATCCCTTTGCTTGCAAGAGCGGGCTACGGCGTCTACTACGGCATCGACCACCGCATGAACTACAGTGCGCGCGTTCACGGCATCACGCAGAACGCACAGCTTGCGGAGACCCTCGCCATTGTCCACCTCACGGCATGTGCTGAACGGCCCGTACACGTCTTCGTGGACAACCAGGCGGTGGTCGACGGCTTCCAAAGGATCATCGACGGACACTCACCTCCGCAGGGCACGCACGTGGAGTTCTGGGAAAAGGTCCACCGATGTGTCATGGCCAAGCCAAACATGTTCCGCGTAGAGAAAGTCGCTAGCCACCAGGGCGACACGGGCATCGACCTCGGGCTCATCGGGCCCATCGCGGAGGAGTTCAATCGTCAGGCTGACGCCCTCGCCACAGCGGCGGCACGTACTCATAACCTCCCAGACGACATCGTTGAAGCTGCCAAAGCACGACACCGCCAAGCGACCGTGCTCCATGGAGTCGCCGTTGCCATCTACGAGCGGAGACATCGTACTCTTCCTCTCCCACACCGCAGGGCTGGGTTCACTGCTGCAGAACTAAACAAAATGGAACCAAATCCCCTGCTGTCTGACCAGGCTCCACCCGCGGCTGGACCAGACATCCCACAAAACCCCGACGAGCTCTGGGCCGAGGCCCAACGGGGGTTATTCGACGAACAGGAGGACGACCCGTTCGGCTTCGGCGGAGGTTTGGACTTCCTGGGCGACGAGTCAGCCAGCGCCAACCCTGCCCCGGCGGGCACCCGCACGGCGCCCCCGACTCCGCCATCGAGTGCGTCAGCCCACCCACATGACAACGCCGTTCCTTTTCAAGACGCTGATGAGCAGGACGATGACCTTTTCAGCCTCGGTGGGGGATCGGACGCTTTGGACGACGGACCAGCCAACGAAAACCCCGCCCCGTCGGGAAACCTCGCAAACCCTACTGCGACGCCGTCCCCAAGAGCGTTAACGCCCACATACGATGATATCGGTCACCGCCAGGACGCCGACCACGACCCGAGTGCCCCCCGAGGATTGGGTGGCATTGAGGACGCACCGCCGACACCACACGCTGCCGACCATGCCGCCCCACCGAGTCACCAACCCTCTACGCGACCGACCTCAGCGGCCTTGCACGGCATCACGACTGGCCCCACCGCGCATACCACTTCACCTCCCCATCGTCAGCGACCCGCGGGGGCGGCTTCAGCCCCCCCGCAGGGTACTAAACCAGACAGGCCCTCGTGCCCCACCCACGCTTCCTCCGTTGCTGAGCGAGAGGAAGCGGCTCCCCTGACCTCTCGGGGCGCGGCCCTAGCGGCTCCAGCCCTGGGGTCGCGCCGGCCCCTCCAGTCACCTTTTAACGGTGACGGACGTCAGCGTTCAGGGTCCCGCACGCCGCTAGCCCACCTGGACAGGCGTACCGAGGACCTCGCCTCTGTCTCGAGATCCTCGGCGGATGTCACTGAGCAGCCACCTCTCACCGACCGTGAAACCGAGCTGTCACAGGCTATGGCTGCCCTTCAGCAGAGGTGCTTAGCTCTCGCCGCGGACCTCGCCGCTGCCCAAGCTCGTCAAGGTCCTCTACTCCAGCGCCTCCACAGCGCTGGGCGAGCCTTCGCCGAGCTGCTCACGACCTCGCCCGATGGTGTCGTGCCGTCACTCAACATCCAAGCTATGTTGTCATCGTTCCGCGGCGCTCCACCTGGTGCCCCGCGCTAATCTCCTCCTTTCTGCCTGCCCGTGTGTACGTGTGGCTCCGCGTCCACGGTGTCAGGGCGTGGGGGCGGGGGGTGCCCCGTCACTGCGCGCCGCTTAGCGGCCAAGCGCCCAACTGGCGGTCCGCCAAGCCGCCTAGCCACGTGCCAGCACGTCGCCTTTCTTGTTGGGGCCTTTTACCTCACGCGGTCTGTCAGGTGAGATCTTCATCGTCTGTCCGCCGTCTGTAGCGTCAGTCGCACTGCGCCGGGGGAGGGGGTTTTGTAGCCCGCCCTCGTATCTTAAGGCTGCACCGCCGCAAATAGTGCTTGCGAGTTGTCGCACCGCAGTGCGCCTCGCGGACGGACCCTGGTCCGCCTACTTGTCCGATCTCTCTCTCTCTCTCTCTCTCTTTCTCTCGCTCTCTCATTCTTTGGTTGTTGTTTCTCTCTCTCCCTCTCTCTGTCCTCCTCCTCCAACTCTTCCCTCTCCTCCTCCCAGGCCATAGTTGGCAACCACGCTGCCCACGCGCTCTGCGGCCTCTCTCACACATTGAGTTCATTATGGTAGGCCTGGTTTACCATGGTGGCATCTCTTCCTGTCAATTGGAAAGCTGGCAGTTCCCACGACAGGGAGTTCTCATGGAGAAAGATGCGAAGGCGAGAGCCCAAGTTCGAAAAGGAACTTGCCCTCCACCCTTATGGCGGGTACAAACTTTCAGACGAGTGCGTGCAGGTGTAAGGCGAGAGCCCCAATGTGGAACGATTCGCCCTCCTTGTATCTGCTGCAAACGGTTAAGACGAATGTGCGCGGGGCCAAACGAGAGCCCCATGTTGAAAACCACACGTGTCCCATCCGTGTCATCGCTACAAGTGTGTAAGAATAATGCGCGCGGCGTTACGGCGAGAGCCCCGTTCTGAGAACAACATGTGCTCCGTCCTTGCGATTGACACAAAATTTCACGACGAATGCGCGCGGCG